TGTGTGTGTGTGTGTGTGTGTGTGTGTGTGTGTGTGTGTGTGTGTGTGTGTGTGTGTCTCCACTCCAGGTAATGATCTCCCCGTGGGTTATCTGCGCCTCCTGGCCCCACCCTTGCAGCTCCTGTCGGCTGCAGTGTGGCAGGTCGTGCAGCGGGGACTCGTGGATCACTACGGGATGCTGGAGGAGTTTGTTACCATGGTGACGGAGCTGGTCCCAGAGCTGATGAGCTACAGTCAGAGGGCTCAGCTCATCCTGGGACTCAGAGCCAGGGTCAGTGTCACTTCACTGACACAAACTGAAGATTTGTCTGTTAGCAAAACATCTCAGATTTTAATGACGGATATTTTTGCTTAAAACTTTAGCGTTAATCTACAAACATAGATGGTTTCAGTTAAAGGGATCCATGATATTTTGTAACATTAGACTTTATTTGATAAACATTTATTTTAACTGTAAAATAAAGACTGTAAAAATACTGTAGGCTGTTCAGTTTTTATCAGTATTACACAGACGGAGCCATTTTATTTACACTCAAAGCATTCTGGGAAAATGATGATGTGGATAGGTCCTCAGTGCGAGGCTTCTAGTGAGCTATATCCACCCTGAAGGTTAATCTTGGACAATATCTGATGATCTAACACATTCTCATGTCGAAGTCGTCAACATATTGACGCTTGGGCAGGGACCGTCTGCGTCCAGTTTTGACACGTCAGGTACCCCCCGCGTGTCCGTCCTTGCCGCCCGCGGCTTTTCCGGGTTGCGTCACTTAGGGGTCTTTGGGTCGGAGGTCTGAGGTTAACATGAGGGATCAGGATTAATGGTTACTTTGAGATACTGGGATCAGGGATAGGCTGTATATGGCTAATATTTAGGCTCTGGGACGGATAGTTCTCGCAAATCCTCTACATTTAAAAAAGTGGTTAATATGAGGGATCAGGGTTAATGGTTAATTTTAGGGTCTGTGGTCAGGGATAGGCTGTACAAGCCTAATAGAAGTTAAATTTAGGGTCTGGGATGGTTAGTTACGCACATTTCCTACTCTTGTAAAAAAAATATGACAACGCGCTCGTCCTCCTCCCCCGTCCGAGAGTTGACGGGGGGCACGAGAATGCGTTGGACGATCGGCTCTTTTAAATGAAACCAGAGAGCGTTGACAGAGAGGAGAAGGTAGAAATGACTCAGCCTGGAACTGAAAATATAGATGGAGGACAACAGAGCTGCTTCATGGAAGAAGAACCTCAGCTTAGCCTGTTAGCTTTAGTGTTAGCCCTGACGCTATCACCATATATATGTATTAGCTCAGCGCTACACATTCTCCTCTCGTCACTGAGGTCCTCCATCCACATGACAGAGAGGGGAACGTAAAAATGACTCAGTCTGGAACTGAAAATATGGATGGAGGACTTCAGTTTAGCTTGTTAGTTTGTCGCGCTAGCGCAAAGGCTAACAGGCTAAGCTGAGGTTCTTCCACATTTTCAGTTACAAGCTGAGTTGGTTCTACCTTCTCCTCTCTGTCAACGCTCTCTGGTTTCATTTAAAAGAGTCGATCATCAGATATTGTCTAAGATTAACCTTCAGGGTGGATATAGCTCACTAGTAGCCTCGCACCGAGGACCTATCCACGTCGTCATTTACCCAGAATGCTTTGTTTGGAAATAAAATGGCTCCATCGGTGTTAAAATAGATTTTAAAAAATTTACAAAACTAAACATCCTACAGTATTTTTACAGTCTTTTATTTTACAGTTAAAATATATGTTTATCAAATAAAGTCTAATGTTACAACTAATCAGGGATCCCTTTAATAATTATCTCTGGATCGGCTGGACAGGTTTTAATCGTATCAGCCAGGTTTCTCTGCAGGATTTGCATGCGGAGAGTTTGTGCGTCACGAGTCTGGTTTTGGTGTTTGTGTAACCAGCTGGTTCTGGAGCTCTGTCAAGGCGAGCACCCGGTGGACATGCAGACCATCCAGCCACATCTGGACAGAATCAAAGCTCCCGTCAGCACCGCCAAGGACCACCACGTGAGTCCACCGCAGCCTGGGAAGCAAGCCGTTTGCTGCGGGCAGAACTGGAATAATTGACTTTGTTTTGTTTGACAGGTGATGATAAACCAAGTGGAGGAGTCTGAAGTGAACTTTGTGGAGCTGGTGCATTCGTTACTGGAGGATCCGTCWGAGAGAAAATATTTTTTCCAGGTAAAACAAAATTTATATCGTGTCGAATTGCAACAACGGTATAGCACAAAAATGAAACCCAATCATAATTATAGGATTTATTAACAAAGAGTTCCTCTGCAGGTTTAACAAACTTGAGCTGAAGGAGGTCTGACGAATCTCAGTTTCTGGTGAGGTGTATCGACGGTACGCTCYGAAAATTGGCTTCAGCAGCACATTAAGTCCGCTGATGGTCTAATTGTGTTCTTGACACGCTTCGGGTCACTTAATACCGATCAGTCATGGTTTGGATTCCACAGCCCGCGTGTGTTTCTGTTGCTGATTGTCGGAGTCACTTTGCTGCTCTAAACGACCTTTTCTTAATGGCTGCATTAAGCCTGAAAACACAGATTATCCCAAACACGCTGATTAGTGCGACCGTGTCGTTGGGTTCAGTGGAATCATACAGAAATTGAACAGTGAAGCTGACAGCAGCACAGGGCGGWGAGATGCATTTCGGCTCGTGGTTTTTCTGTCAGGCGGCGTCTCTTATTTTTCCTTTATTTTCTTTAGTCAGACTGGTCGCAATGAAAAATCACTTCAGTTAAAGCTGCAGTGAAACAACCTAAAGTTACAGGAAAACAAGAGCGTTTCTCAAAACTCTCCGCTGCAGCTTAAATCCAAAACAAAACCGAGCCTTTCCTGAATCCAGCCACCTGCTGCATCCTGTCACCGAAACGGATAACAAGTGTCAGCGGGTGAACAGAACTTAGCTTCTGCCTTCGACATGGAGCAGTTCAGGCGTTTGTGATCCACCTCTTACAGCAGATTTTATGACATCATCACAGGAAAATAGTTTTTTTGTTGTTATGTGAGACATAATTAAAGTGATTCTTTCTGTAGCAGCACCTCTCAGTCATTAATGCAGCCGTGTTTGTCCCTCCTGTTTTTGCAGGAAATCTTCCCCGTTTATTTTGGCCCAAAGTATGACGCGGCTCTGGAGATGCTGGTGTGGGAGTTTATATCCAGACTGGAGGAGCTGCTGCCGGTCCCGGACTTCACACAGGTGCTGATTTCCTTCAGCTCAGGCCAACCAGCAACTTGTCTGATAAACAAACAGCTGAAAAGCACCAGTGGCCTTTCTTCTTCTTCTTCTTCTTCTTCTTCTTCTTCTTCTTGCTCACATTGTTGAGATGATCCATTTTTCTGCATCTATTTTTTTTATTTCAACAGTTCCTTTATAAAAAAAATGTTCAGCTCATTTATGCCATGAGTGTATGACCCTTATTTCTGCAGCTTATACAATTTCAACACTTTAGCTWTTTTCTCATTGAAAATGACTGGAGCTGTCTTAAATCTCCTTTAAAATCTTTACTGCATTTTTTATCTTTTGTTCTTATTCTTTTTTTTTTTCAATTTATTTGATTATTTTAAATTATAAATATTTTTTTCTTATTTTAGCTTTTTTTGCTGCTGTTCTGCTTCTTTCACCTGTTCTGTTCTGTTATTCTTTTTTAGGTTTCTTTCTGCTAATTTAAACTTTTCCTGCTTCTTTTAGCTGATTAATAATTTAAGCTGCTGTAATTTGAGCTTTTTCATCATTTTTGTGATCATTTTGTTTTCCCACTGCTTGATTCAGCAAACGTGCTTTTTTGCATCTTTGTGCTAATTTTAGCATTTTTAGCTTCCTTTTAGCTATTTTTCTGCTAATTTTCAGCTGCTTTTTTTGTACTTCTTTTTCTGCCAAAGTGAACTTTTTTACTCTCTGTTTATCACGTGTTCTCTCAGCTTGTTCCTTCTACTGTCTACGTTTTGTTGTCCAACTTTCAGCAATAGTCAGCTTTTCACATTTAACTCGCATTAAAATTTTTAATATTTAACATATTGAACTTCTTCGTCAGATTTTGGGAGTAATCTTTCAGCATTAAACACAGGGCATCTGCGGGTCCTTAAAAAGTCTTAAATTCACGTACCTAAAATTAAGACCTTAAAAAGTCTTAAATTTGTTAAAAAATGTGCAAGTTGGTCTTAAATTTGTTACTCAAAGGTCTTAAATTTTGTCGKGCAGAAGCAATTAAAGTTCTCCGTCTCCCCCAGGCCATCTCTGCAGCACCATTGCTTATATTTTTGGTCTTAAATTTCATTCAAGATGGTATTAAAAAGTTYTTAAAAAGTCTTAAATTTGACTYGCTAATACCTGYAGATACCCTGTAAACATTCACACTGCACAGATTTTACCTGTTACAGTARTGAAATAATAATTGTAATTTATCCTGTGACTCCAAGAGGTTTCTGTGACTTTATTTTAGACTGAGCAGCGTTTGAAGGGTTAATGAAGTCTCAAAGGCAAGGGGCTCAGGTGATGGGGGGAGGGGGGTAACTGGGTGCAGATCTGCCACAGTGTCCCAATAGACCCTCTCTTCTTTTTGAAAACAGGCCCCCTGGAGAGAAACACAACATCAAGGCCAAACACACGACAGAAAAAAAACATTTACTCATAATAAACAAAGAACACATGAACAAATCCTTTTATTATGTAGAGTTATGATTAACTCATGTTTTATTTATTCCCTCTAGTGTTAATAGACGGTTGATTGTTAAAATTATGCAGGTGTGTTTGCAAACCTGACCTGTTAGTGGCAGTAAATAAGTGACAGGAAGTAATATAAGTGTTCATCTAACTGATAAACCTTTTCCACCTAACGTAAATAATTCATTTGTGAGATTTTTAATCAGTTACAGTCTTTCAAGAGTTGAGAGACTTAAGTTTTAATGAACAATCCTTGAGTTGTTGTAACGTTTGCTTGAACTTTTAATAAGGTTTCTAACATGAGGCATGTTTGCCTGGAAACCTCCCCCCTTTAAAATATACTTATTTTTTAATGTAATAAAGTAAAATAACAAAAAGCCTGATCAAAGTGTTAACTTCTGCTCTCTCTCCTCAGTTGGCAGCTTTGCTCACAGACGCTCCGTCATTTCTTCACGACTCCTTGCAGTCATTTTTCTCCCCAGAAGACATGAAGGCTGTGCTCGATCACCACCGAAACCTCGGCCATTTTGAAGAAAAAGGTGCTGAAGGCTCTCTGTGGCTGCAGATGTTTGTAGTTAAGCCTGTAAAAAATGTGTCCAAAGGGGAAAATATTTTCGTTTTATAGCAGCCGTTCAAGGTCTATACCTCTGTTCAAAATCTTTTAAATTCTCCTTCAGTTTGATATTTTTCAGTTTCAGTTGCATTTTCTTATGTTTTATTTTCAGGGCCAACGCTGTAAAAGACACAGTTTTGATGTAATGTTGCTTTCTCAGGAATTAAATGTTCCATCTCTTTTATAGAGTCGAGATTATTACCGATGGACAACTGCATCCTGTCCTCCCTCTCGGTCCCTCCTGGGGCCAGACCTGCCCCGGACACCGTRTCCTGCTCGCCGGCCTCCAGGGACTCCGACCCTCCAGAACCGAAGGCACCCGCCGGCGCGAGCGACCCGGAGAGGTCGATGATCACACGGAGTTCGAGCTCAGTGAGRCTGAGGTCGCAGAGCAGAGCCGCCAACGCCGCGCAGAACTCCACGCAGCCGCGCAGCGAAACCATCGACCTGACCGTGTCCAACGAGGCCGCCGCCACCGACTCGGAGGAGAGCAACCTGAGCTCGTCGGCACCTCGGAGGCGGAGGAAGAGGAAGCTGAGCGGAGGTGTGGAAGTTCCTACGAAGAAACCCGTGGAGGCTTCAGCTATCTTGTAAGACGAACAGAAACTGCATTTCTTACACTCAGATGTTTTATTGTGGGTTTCTGTTCCCTTTCAGTCAATTCACTTGGTACAACATCATGTATGGGAAACCACGCCCCTGCGTGTCCTGGCTGAAGCTACCTCTAATCACGCC